TATTGACAGTCTTTCTTTGATAGTTGCTAGTCCTCATCAAGAAGATCTCTTTTTGCGCTTTTTTGTAGTCATTCATACAAGTTTCATTGTCCTCAGTTAAAGTTCTGATTGAGGTCAACATTTCGTCTTTAAGCGACACTAAGTTTTCAAGGTTCATCTCTAGCTTTCTGTTTTTCTCCTTAATCTCTTGATTACTGGTTAGTAGATCGTCAATTTCTTTACCCAAATTTAGGTTTTCTTCATTTATATTATGCAATTCGACTTTCTGCTTGTCAATCTTTTTTTTGAGACACTCTTCTGTTGCAAGGAATTCATCCTCAAAATCCATAGTGGTTCTTCTACTCCTTTCCATATATTTCTCCATGTCACTTTTCTCCTGGATAAGAAGTTCATTTTTCTCAATTATTCCACTAATTTCTTCTCGTTGTTGATTTATAACTTCTACCATCTTTTCCATCTCAATTCTTAAATGGCTGTTATCAAGGTGTAATTTTTGTACTTGCTTAACTTTGATTTTCACATTTCCACTAGCTTTTTTTAATTTTTTAAGTAACTGGTGGATAGGATCCACCCTCAAAAAAACTTTCCAACAATTTTTCAAAATTTTTTCCAACAATTCTACTAACATTTATATATATTATTGGAGCGCTGATGTCGGTCGCGCGACGAACCGACTGATAATATAAAATATTCGTTTCATAAGACATTTAATCTACGTCGGTGTCATTATGACACATTTAGCATTGTCATTTGAATGTCATTAGGTCCTTCATAATAGCACTAGTGCGTTTAAGAATTCATAATAACACCCAAATTTTGAAATGAAAAATATACAAAAAGAAAGTTAGTTGCCAGAAGAACCTTTTCAATAATGCTGTCTCTATATTCGAAGAGACACTTTCGAACTCAGAATTACCAATAATAATATTATTTTCCACTATAAAATTGAATTTATGGCACAAAAATGGACTCCAATATTGAAGCTGCCAAAGTCAAAATTCTAAAAACCAAGAAGCAGGTTCTCGACTAGTACGGGCACCTGCTAAATTTCAAATTTTAATTTGAAAAGTTTTTGCTATTTCAAGGCAAATCAAATCTATTTAGACCATTGTAGATTAAATTTTGAATGATACACGTTCGATATGAACTTTATTAATGAAACTTGTGTAACTAAACCACTCGGCTAACGTCTCGTGGTTTAACGTTACACGCGTTTCATTATGGCGTTCATATCGAACTTGTATCATTAATAACTATAATCGCACGAGCCGAGGCGAGTTTTTTAAAGGGCGAATGCTTATGAAACTTGTATTTTAATGTACTATTGTGTTTTGGTTTTGATTCAATGGTTTTGATGCACTACATGCGGCCCATGTGGGATGTTACGCCAAAATTAGCGTCGAATTGACGCTCATGCCGATTGTGCTAATTACGCCCGTGGAAATTCGCCCTAAATTTATATAAAACACATGACAATCATGTTGATGAGAAAGAAAAAAGTTTTCAGAGTCAAATAGGTATGCGCTCATCGAAAAATAATCATAAAGAAAGTCCCGAGTGATACAGCGTATCTTCTGGACCGCGCGCTCTGTACTACCGTTGATTTTTGTTCGACGCAACCTAGCGTAATCAAAAACAAAGCCCCGAGTGATACAGACCATCTTCTGGACCGCATGCTCTGTACTGCACAGGGGTTTAGCTTTACGCTACCGGGTGCCCACGAGATTATTTTCCGGCTGCCATTTATTTATTTGTTCATCGATATTAACGAAACTTGGTAGGGTTGATTTTCTAACCAAACGCCATTTTTATGCATCTATGACAAGTTTTCCTGACTTCCGGTTCCACCGGAAATAACCGGTACTTTCGATTTTCAAATGGCACACCCTGTATATTTTTTGTTTTTCGGATTCTACAAATCGTTTTACGTCCTAATGTACCACTTTTAAATCTGGTTTTGTCCAAATTTCGTTTTCAAATTGAATTTTAATTAGAAAAAAAATAATTACCTATATATAATAAAACAAAAATGTTTGAACGAAAATTAAGAAAAATGTCGTAGTCTATTATGTCGTTGGATTCGCTTCAAAATACGGCATTTACTAATGTTATGAAACTTATGAAAGTGATATGTTTCTATTCTAGTTTTCGAGCTAGGGCAAAAATACTAAAATAATGAAGTTTACAGCCCTCTCTCAAAAAAGTTTAGAAAGATAAAATTGAGTCTGTATTTTTCTGAAATTAAGTAAAGTATAGTCTGCCTAGCGACTCTGTGTCTACGGGGCAACGGTAAGGGGAATGCAGTTGTAAAAACAAATGGCTGATTTCATTCATAAAATACCCAGCGGCGTGCAGAACTTTTTGGAAGTGTTATCTTATTGTAACTCGTACACGAAAATCAGCAATGACCAAATGTCCGCCACTGGATATTTCAATATAAATCGATATTCCAAGATGGGAGGATAAAATGACGTAAGCCCTGGCCAATAGCGAGACGTAAGGTGACGTTAGCTCATTGACAAACGTATGGTTCCCGATGACAACGGCGATCCTGCCAAAAACTCCACCAATCAGTTTCATCCAGGACGGATGCTTGCCAAATTGTCAAAAGCTGATGGTATCTTTAGAATATATTTATTTTTTACAATAGACCAAATTGAAGAAATCAGGATTAAAAAAAGGATAGATCTAACAACCACGTTAAAATAATTAACGTTTTATTATTGTTATCAATATTTTGTTATTAAAAAATGGATTTTCAAATTAACTATACTTCATGCCTAGTATTTTCGCTTTTTTATAATTAAACGTGGCAACATGGTTCATTTACGTCCGAATTCCTTCCGTAGACTCAGATCCGCTGGGCAAACAATATGTAGAGTCATTTTAGGATGATCATGGCGCTCTAGTTGAAAAATTAAAATTTAATAACAAAATTTGGACAAAACTCGATTCAAAAGTGGCGCATTAGCCCGTAAAACGATCTGTAGAATCCGAAAAACAAAAAATATACAGGGTGTGCTATTTAAGAATCAAAAGTTTCGGTCATTTCCGGTGAAACCGGAAGTCAGGAAAACTTGTCATAAATACATAAAAATGGCGTTTGGTTAGAATATCAACCCTACCAAGTTTCGTTGATATCGATGAACAAATGAAAAAATGACAGCCGGAAAGTAATCTCGTGGGCACCCGGTATATTGTGCCAATCTGAAAAACAAATATTGGGTCTATGTTTAAAAGAAATATTCCATATTTATTAATTCGTGATATTGGGACAATATTTATCTTCAATATCGAATTCATATATAAACTATATGTAAATGTAAGGTCCGTTTCACCAGGGTTCATACTTGACCTTGAAACTTGACAAAAAAGGGTTGTAGTAGATTAATTCATATGACACATTCAATTTTTTTGACAAATTGAAATGAATGACTTCTGGTTTAAAAATCGACGAACGTTTTTGACGTCAATGATTTGTTTCAGTCAATTTTTATTTGTTAAACAAGGAAGGCAAGTGCTGGTGGCAAGTACAAACCCTGGCGAAACAAACTTTATATTACCTATAATTGAAAATTAACAAACATCAACAAAAAATTTACTAAACAAAATAGAAATCCTTTTTATCATCGTTTATCCACCGCGAAAATGGTTTATCTGATAAAACACATACCCGAACATACAGGGTGTCCCACGGTGGATGGCGTATTAGACGTTTATGGAGAACTAGAAAGCGGATCATTTTGAAAATTTGCCAACCGGGATAAACGAGCATGATCTACACTCTAAAAATATTTTTGTTTATGCGGTGTTGCCGCTTCTACTTTAAACCAGTGGCAACATCGCTATTTCAAATGAAACACCCTGTACGTGATTGCATATTTGGACTCTACATAAAATTCTGAGCAGATTTGATGTGATATACCCCATACCTAAGTTCAACTGTTTTGGAAATATTAACAGTTGAAAATTGACTTTTTGCAACTTTGACAGGCTTTAAAACCCGAACGGATAATTTTAGAGAAAAATCGATTTTACATTCCTATCTTAGATTTTTATAAGCTATCATTTGACACCAACTTTGAATTTAATCCATAATTAAAAATTCCAATTAAATTTAATCTCCGGTTAAATTTAAAGTTGGTGTCAAATGATAGTTTATAAAAATCTAAGATAGGAATGTAAAATCGGTTTTTCTCTAAAATTAACCGTTCGGGTTTTACAGCCTGTTAAAGTTGCAAAAAGTCAATTTTCAACTGTCAATATTTCCAAAACAATTGAACTTAGGTATAGGGTATATCACATGAATTATGCTCAGAATTTCACGTAGAATCCAAATATGCAATCACATACAGGGTGTTCCATTTAAAAAAGCGATGTTACCTCTGGTTAAGAGTAGAAGCGGCAACACCGCATAAACAAAAATATAGTGTAGATTATGGTGGTTTATCCCGGTTGCCAAATTTTCAAAATGATCCGTTTTTTAGTTCTCCATAAACGTCTAATACGCCATCCTCCGTGGGGTACCCTGTAGATGCATAATGAATCGGCAAATAATAAAGAACAGAAAAACAACGAGTCCTATTTTGTAAAATCAAAATCACGCAAACGTGGCTTGGGAAAACGTGATCCGAACGCTCTGAATTCATATTTATGATATTTCCACTAATTCCACTTCCATGAAACGTATAACATTAAAATGTTGATGATTGGAGAAATCATATTAAATATTCGCACAGACCTATTATTGGCGTACAGAGACGACCGAAATTATTCAGCAAATTTGAAATTCTATTTTTTAATAGAATGATAATCAGAAATTATTATTATTATTATAGTAATTATAGTTTGTCTTATTGCAAAGTGATGTATTTAATTTTTTATTAAGTTACGCTAATTTAAGGTGAAGCGGCGCTTCACTTGCGTTTTGCGGCAAGCCGTCACTGCTTCACATTGTATATAATATGACTCGTCTAAATTAGACAAAGTGCTTCTGGAACGGATTCTGATTGAAACAAAGTTAGGTATTTATCTATTTTTAAAAAAGCAATAAAACACAAAATTTCGCGCTCAAGAATTAGAATCATATATTTTTGAAACAATTTTTTTTTACAGCATTGTCTTGGCGCACTTTTATTTACAAAACATTTTTTTTATTAAAAATTAAAACATTTTTTTTTTTCAGTTTTTTTCCTTTTAATTTGTACTTAAACTCAATTAGGTCTACATAATAAATGTATAACTACAGAAATTGCGTTTCTTTTTAAATAAGTTTCACAATAATATAAACAGACAACATGCTTAAAAACTATATGCCAATATAAATACTTAACTCTAAAATTTTTGACAAAATATTGATTGAAATACAATATTTAGTCAAAAATTGAAAAAAAAAACCTGTGCCAAAACTCGTTAGGAATTCGTATAAAGCTCCTTTGAACTGTACAAGGAAACCTTTTGTTATGTAGTTTATATGGGGCATAAAAACAAAAAATAAACAATTACAGGATAAAATTGCTTATTGCCAAACTAGATACCCCTGATTAAAAAAATATGATATTCTGATTGTTAAAAAATAAACATAAAATGGCGTCATGATAATAAATGAGAAAAAAAAACGAAAAAAAAAAATTGTAGTCCTTTAGAACACAGAGCAAAACACAAAGAAAAAGAAACAAAAATATATATAAGTTAATTATCAAATATATCACATTTTTTTACTGCCAGGCGATTTTCTTTTATAAAATTATTGTCTTCTACAAAAAAAAAAAAATTATTCAAGGAAACCGCCAGCCATAATATTTTATACAAATATTCACAATTTACAAACTTCGGTTAATGAAATGCTTTTTACTCGAAGCTAGATGATTAATGGTAGGCAAAATGAACAACAAAACTTGTAGCAGATCGTTTCAACTTAAAATACCTATATTTTGTGGAGGAAAACGTTTCTTTTTTTTTGCCAATAGTATTATAAATTGTATAAGTAATCCAAGTGCAACTGGAACTGGGAGTTAACGTAGCCCGCTCTAGAAGAGATAATTCAACCGGAGTTTGTAAACTCGGATCAAATCATCTCTCCTGATGGCGCTAATATCATAGCGACACAATGCCCATTGAGGGCTCAAAATTAAGGCGTAGATTCACTTTTTCAATGACGATGTTCCGTGTCAAAAAATAAACTTGTGAATTTCAATATGTAAGAACCAACTAAAAATTTGGAAAATTTCAATATAAAAAGTGCTGATGGGGCAAAACAAAAATAAAAGTGTATTGAAGCTGCCAAAAAAGTACCTAATAATACTATGGCAAAATATAGTGGTTCAAATCACTAATAATTATTTTATTCAGTTAGAGAAAAGTGGATTGTTAGAGATGGGTAGTTTGAGTGATCAACACTAACCTATGTGGAGAGGAACTTTTTATTTTTTTCCAATATACCCAGACTATAATAGTTAAGGCCAACTTCTTCATCAACAGTTACTGTTCTATTCCAAATTTTTTCCAAGTGTTTTACTCTACTAAATACTATTTCAAATTATTCATTTCATACTTTGGCAATATCTTTATGTGATGACTTCTCTGAACCATAAAGATCAAGATTATGTGATTTGACAACGTTTAATAGAAGGATCTCACAAAGTTTCAACTGTTGATAAAGAAATTGGCCCTAAGTCGAAATTTCGTCCAAACCCTTATATTTTTATGCATATGCCCCATGTACTTTAAATGGGGCAGATACAGGTGTTAATTTCTACTTCCACTTATAAAAAATTAGTGAGTCAAATAAAGCAGTCTTTTTTTTAATAAATTTCAAGACCTTCTGCTTTTGAAATGTACAACATTACATAATAAAAAATATTACATTATATACAATAACTTAAATACTAAAAGAAAGTAAATGATTAATTTTTTTTGTTTTTGAAATTATTAGAATTTTTTTTTTTTGGTTGAGTTTTAAACGCTTCCTCCACATTTTTTAGTAAAGATAACTTAAGTGTTTCCCAGAAAGCAGCTGCTTATAAAAACAAATTAAATCAGGCAGTGTCCTTTTTTTTTACACTAAAATTTCTCAAACAATTTGCCTCCGTATTAATCAATAAATGAATTATAATAATTATTTACCACCTATCTAACTAAACACTATGTACACCTAGTGAACTGTACACAAACTATTATTGCCTTTCCGGCTGCTTTTTTCTTTTGCTCATCCCCGATTGGCTATTATTATTATTGCTGTTACCGTTCTGGTGGGTGTTGCTACTGCGATGGCTGTAGCCCTGGTGATTCGAGCCGCCGCCACCTCCTCGAACACCACTGTCGCCACTGTTACGTTGGTTATGGCCGTTTTGCTCGTACTTTCGGTGCCACACCCGGTTCCGATTCGTGGTGGTGTTGTGATTGTGATGGTGTCGGTTCATGTAATTGACGTTCGGCGAATGGTCGCGCGACGCCCGATCTGAACCCTAGAATGGATAGATAAATAATTAGAAAACATATAATTCAAATGAAAATGAAACTTAAAAAAAAGTAACACAGGGATGCAAGTGTTGTGAACCTGCTCTCAAAGCTAAAGTCAAAATGTTATTAATAAGATGACAAAAATCAGTTTGTGGAGTAAAAATATAATAAGGTGTATTCATGTGTTTCTCAATTTTGATCGAATATAACATTGTTTAAAGCATGCAGAAATAGTTTAATTTCAATACACTGCAATCAATATTTCAAAGAGCTGAGTCGTATCGTCTTCTTTTTTAAACTCGGTAGACGATTTCCATTTTGGGGCAGGATTACAAAGTATTTATGAATTATTATTATTATTATTATGTTTTGTTGCTCTCTTTATGTACATAAGAGTACTATTGTCTCAAGAATAATTTTACAATGTTGCATGTTTTGAGAATAACCGCCTTATGAACTTGATGATGTATAAACTCGTTCGAGCTAAAATCCTTAAGATGTTGCATAAATTTTATATGGGTGATCCTTGTGGCAGAAAATATGAATGGAATGATGTATGTATGGTTTTGATTCCATATTTTTTGTAGTTCGATCGCAAGCGGGGTATATTTTTCAATTTTTTCACTATATTTTTTTCCTACATTAGCATCTGTTGGTATGGATATATCAATGAGGTTATTTTTTTAGTTTTATTTATAAGTGTTATGTCTGGTCTATTAGCAGAGATTGTTTTATCCCTGTGAATTGTTAAGATCGTAATATAGTTTGCAACTTTAGTTTTCAAGAATATTTTCAGCTGTATAGTGATAATATGCTTTGTTTTCTTCTATGTTGTTGTATCTCAAGGCTATTGGTGTATTATTTTGCATGCTATATTATGCCGTTCTGTATATGCAGTGCCTGCTAAAATTTTGCACCATCCTGTTATGTGTTCTATAGTTTCTTGCTGTATATGGCATTTTCTGCATGTGTCATCATTGGTTTGTGTTTTTATTATATGCCTCTGATAATTTTTGGTCGCAAGTCACTTTGTCAAGAACAAAACCTTCTATTTCGGAAAAAAGTTCTTTTTTCTGCAGCCATTTGTACGTATTTTGTTTGTCTATGTTCTCATGATTTATTACATATGGATGCTTTCCGTGTAATGCTTTTCGAGCCCACTGTTTAAGTATCTCCTCTTTGTATGTTTCTTCGCATAGCAATGGGTTATCTTTGCATGAAAGATTCAGCGGTGTTTAATCTATATCTGCCATGGTTATCGGTTCATGTCATGAATAAGATTTGTTGTAAAAATATCTTCTTAAGCATTTTATCTGTTTAACAGTAACATGTAATAAATGAATATCCATAATTCCTCTACCTTTCTTTGTATTATGAGCCGCTCCTTGCAGGCATTGGGATGATGTTTTCTGTTTTTGGTTAGTTCGCTATTTCCAGGTTCCTTGGGTTTGAGTTTGATTTAAAAATGAGCCTTAACCGAGTGATGTATTGTTTTAAAAACTATTTTTTTTTTCAGAGTGCCGTCTATTCTTGTGTTTTGTTGGAATCTTAGGTACTTGTAGGTTTCTATTTTTTGCATTTTGTTCAAAGTCTGTTTCTGTAGTGTTTCAGATGATATTTCATCCTTCCATCTTCCCCTTTAAACAACCAGCATTTTACACTTCTCTATACCAAATTCCATTCCAATATCTGTTATAACCTCCTTTACGATTTTAAGTAGGCCTCTCATTTGGGTCTTTGTTGAGCTGTATAATTAGATGTCGTCCATGTATAGTAAATGTATAGTTTTATACATTTCATCGGTCCATGTCATGTGTTTCCTTATACGTCCTGCATTCGTGGTCACAGGTAAATCCTGCAAAACACTTTCAGCAGTTTCTGAATTTGCAAGGTTTCTAATTTCTTGATGTAGTTTGGTTTTACTTGAGATGGTTGAGGAATTCTTTTTGATAAGATTTTCAGGTATTATGAGTTTAAGCATCCAGCTTGTGTCGCTTATGGGTTGCGCTATCTTGCCGCTTGGGGTGTCTTTTATTGTAATTTTCTTTCGAGGTGGTTTTCGTTGCATCAAATATAAATGGATATTCAGGTTGTAAATTTCTGATATTGCATAAATCTCCAGACTGGTTCCATATGTACCAACCTGTGACATACTGACAGTAGTCTACAACATCCTTCAAGCAATCTTCCTCTTGTACTATATACAGGGTGGGGCACGAAAAACTTCCCACCCAGAGTTTCTCAGGTGTTAGGTTTTTAATCAAAAATCGCTCGGATACGTCAATTTTTGTTTTTTGGGGGACATATTTTATTGGTATTTTCACCCCCATATTTGTTAACCCCTAAGCAGGGGTGACAGCTACCCTTAAATTTCAAATGGAGTAATACGTCATTTAGTAGCTATTTTTATTATAATTATATTCCCAAAGTTCGACAGGGTGAGTAGTAGCAGCTTAAAACTTTGGGGATGTAATCATAATAAAAATAGCTATCAAATGACGTATCACACGACCCCCCTTTCGATTTGAAATTTTGGGGTACCTGTTACCCCCGCTTAAAGGTTGACAGATACGGAGTGAAAATACCAATAAAATGTGTCCCCCAAAAGACAAAAATTGCTGTGTCCAAGCGATTTTTAATTAATCACCTAACACCTGAGAAAACCTGGACGGAAAGTTTTTCGTGCCCCACCCTGTATATTTTAAGTGAAATCCAATGTTCCTGAATATATCTGACAGCATTTGCTCGAATTTGTTGATGATTATCTTGATTGCCCTCTAGATATAGACTAATGGCTCTGAATAGACAATTTCCATCTCTTACTATGTCTGATCTTATTATAAACCTTTCACCTTTTATTTCGCTCATTATCTAAAGTAGTGCCGTTTGCTCCACTCTTCTTTGGATCAGGCTGGGCTTCTGGATGGTTCCAAAAAGGATCAGCCTGCAATCCTCCGTCACCATGCTTTCTACTAGTATTAGTAGTAGCTTTTCTCACACCTGATGAGTTGCTGGCACATCGGTGGTTCCCTTTTAGTCGCCTTTTACGAGAGGCAGGGACTACCGTAGGGACATTCTTCATACACCCGTACCCCACATGGGGTTTATTATTATTATTATTATTATTACTTATAGGTTTGAGCAGCAGTAAGCGGCAACGCCGGCCAATAAGACTACTGCTGTATTATTCTATCCTTGTTTTTACTGTTATAAGTCACATGTAATGTACAAAATTCAATCTAGCTCTCTCCAGATCCCGGTCAAGTCTGTTTTTGAATGTGTTCTGAAGGAGCACTGATTGTGGTTTAGAGATTTTGTACGTCTCAATCAAGTCCCCTCTCTCTCATCTAGCTTTTAGGATTGCTATGTCGTATTTAATTAGTCTTTCTTCGTATGAGAGATTTCTGATTCCAAGGGGGAGTTTTGTCACACTACGTTGGACTCTTTCCAAGATCTCAATGTCCTCCTTTTATATCTTTTGCTGATTATGGGGATGGATCTATCACTAAAAGCTTTCTGTATAAGGTATACAAAAGAGTTTGTCCTCTTGACAACCGAAGAAATATGGGTTCCCATTTTAGTTGATTAAAGATAATGACACCTAGATCTTTCTGCTCAGTGACAGCCTTCACAGAACTGCCGTTTAACCTGTAGGGTATATTTGGATTGTTAGGGCCAATGTGCAGTACAGTCTATGAGTACAGTGCACTTGTCGGAGTTGAGTCTTTTGAGTGTTAACTGCCATTCGCTGATTCATTTCTCGAGTGTTTTCAAGTCGTCTAAAAGGTTGTGATGCCCTATGCACAGATTGCAGTATATTTTTGTGTCATCAGCCTAAAAAATTATGTTTGTTTGTATAAAAGTATAAAAGTATGAAGAAAAGTATCCAGAACACAAACTGTGTATCCTGGGAGATTTTAATCTTCCAAACTGTCAGTGGCATAATGATGGATTATCTTCAGTTGCTGCTCCTATGGCGGCAGTTCCACCTAACGAAGTTGAATCCGTACAAGTTCTTTCATTTTTATGTTCATACCATAACCTATATCAACTTAACTCAGTTAGAAATGTTAACAACAATTTACTTGATCTGGTTTTTATGCAGGATGGTGACACTGAGATATTTATAGCAGAAAATGCCTTACTTCCAGAAGATATTCATCATCCACCACTGTCGTTTGAGGTCGAATATGAATCAAATTGTTTCAACAACTCTGGATTGACTGGAGATGGCTATTATAGGGATTTTAAGTCGATGAATGTTCAAGAAGTATCAAGTTTCCTTTCCCTGTTTAACTGGGATGATTTATTCAAGAACAAATCTCTTGAGGATATGGTTAATATTTTTTACGACATTGTCTACCTAACTATTGATATTTTTGTTCCTTTGAGAAAGTATTCAGCAAAGAAGTTTCCTATTTGGTTTTCTCCAGAACTAAAACAAACGATAATTGAAAAAAAAAAATTGCATAAAAAATATCGTAAAAGTAGATCACTAGATGACTATAATCAGTTTTCTTTGTTACGGGCTCACTGCAAACACCTAAAAAAAGAATGTTATCGAAGTTATGTTGCTTTAACTGAATCGTCTCTTAGAGATAATGTAAAGAATTTCTGGAAATTTGTTAACAGCAGAAAAGCCAAAAATAATATACCTTCTGTAATGCGGTATGATGGTGTTACTAGTTCATCTGGAGTTGGGATTGTCAATTTGTTTGCTGAATACTTTTCAAAAACTTATAGTGATAAAGACTGTGTATTGCAGGACATTCTGCCTTCTGGGCACATCAATCTGTCGGAATATAACATACCCATCTCATCTATCTATGAAAAACTATCCAAATTGGATATTAACAAGGGACCAGGACCTGATGGCCTCCCACCATCACTTATCAAGCACTGTAGCTTCTTGTTCTCTAGACCTCTTTTCCATATCTTTAACCTCTCTTTAAAGACCGGGACATTCCCAGCCTATTGGAAAACAAGCTTTATTACTCCCATATTGAAGTCTGGAGATAGTTCACAGGTTAATAACTATCGGCCCATCAGTATATTAAGTTGTATCCCTAAAGTGTTTGAGAGTCTAGTTTGTGATTATTTGTCTGCTAGTTTAAAAGGCTGTTTCATCGATCAACAGTTTGGATTCATTTCTCATCGCTCCACAGAACTTAATCTTTTAACATTTACTGACTATCTCTTGGAATCCTTGGAGGGGGGTTATCAAGTTCATGCTGTGTACACTGATTTTGCAAAGGCGTTTGATCGGGTTAACCATAGAGTTTTGATTAATAAGTTGCAGAGTCTGGGAATTCAGGGTGTCCTTCTGGAATGGCTTTCATCTTACCTTAATGAAAGAACACAGATGGTACGTATTCAGGGATTCCAATCAATAGAAATTAAAGTACCATCGGGCGTACCCCAGGGTTCACACCTGGGCCCTCTTCTTTTTAATTTATATGTGAATGATATTGCATCCTCTTTTCTCTTTTCCTTCTTCCTAATGTTTGCAGATGACTTAAAACTATACACAAAAATCAAGAATAATGCTGATTGCCTAGAACTGCAAGCCGACTTAGATCGTCTCAGCAACTGGTGTGAAATTAATGGTATGGAACTTAATGTTCAGAAGTGCCATCTGATGGTCTTCAGTCGTAGCAGGAATCCCACAGAACAAGTCTACACTATAAATGGTTGCCCTCTGGAATCTGTATGTCAAATCAAAGATCTAGGTGTAGTCCTTGATTCCAACTTATCTTACATATCCCATATTTCAATGGCAGTATCAAAGTCACTTCAAATCTTGGGTTTTATTAAAAGGTGCGCTAAAGATTTTCTTAATATAGCATCCATCAAAATATTATTCTGTTCTCTTGTGAGGCCTCATCTAGATTACTGTTCTTGTGTATGGTCTCCCCACTACAACGTCCATATCCAGGCTATTGAGAGAGTCCAACATAAATTCTTGAGATTTATTTCATTTAAGGAACGCCATGAAGTTGAAGATATTAATTACTCAAGGGTTGAAAGTTCCCTTAATATCACTACTCTTCAAATCAGACGCATGCACAAGGATCTTACCATATTTTATAATCTACTGCACTCATACAGCTTTGGTCCAGAGCTACTGGCAAAAGTCAATATCCATGTCCCTTCTAGACAAACAAGGCTAAATCAGCCGTTCCAAATTGGACACCATCGTACTAACTACGGATATAATTCTTTTCTATCAAGATCGGCTAGATTTGCTAATCAGTATTCTAACAGGTTGGACTGTTTTGATAATCAAAAAGTTTTTAAATCCCAGCTTAAGTCCTGTACTCTGTGATATTTTAATGTCCCAAAGAATGGTTATAATTAGGGAAGAGAAAGGGAGAAAAAAAAAAAAAAAAGAAAAAAAAAAAAAAAAAAAAAAAAAAAAAAAAAAAAAAAAAAAAAAAAAAAAAAAAAAAAAAAAAAAAAAAAAAAAAGAAAAGTTTTAAGTTTTTTTTTTTTTTTTTTTTTTTTAAAGTATTTTGTGGTTTTTACCCGAGTATTTACCTTATGTTTTATGTTAATTTATTGATATATATTTTTTAATATGTTACTGTTTATTGTTTTCTTATGTTTTGATATTCTAGGTGATAGGTTAGGTTAAGATTCTCACTTGTTAATTATACTTGTCTTTTAATTGGGCAATAATTGCTCGTTGATAAATAAATAAATAAAGATCGCTAATGTATACGGTAAACAGCAGTGGCCCCAACACCGATCCCTGTGGCACCCCATTAAGGACCGTGTATTCATTAGAGTGATGCCCATTTGCTCTCACTTGAAAGGTTCCAGAACACTGCCTATCCATTCGAGGACCTCACCCCTGACTCCAAAATGTTTCAGTTTGAATAATAACCTCTTGACTGCTGCCACTTTGTCAGGATGGCCATTGTCCACTTCTTTCGTCCATGAGTTTATGCAGGTGAGTAGGTTAATTGTGGTAGATCGTTGGGGGAGAAATCCGTGTTGGGTCGACAGGATGGTCTTATTTTTAACGATGTCATTTCCTGAACTATTATTTTTTCCATGATCTTGCAGAGGTAACAGGTAACGCTAATTGGTCTGTAATTTCCAGGGTTGAGCTTGTCTCCTTTTTTGTAGATTGGCATTACGTATGCTCAAGACCATCCCTGTTTACCTAATGATTAGTGACTCCAAGAGGCTGGTTATCACTGGAACCAATATCCTTTGGCAATTTATTAAAAATATTGGCGGTATTTCATCAGGGCCTGGACTAGAGTAGAAATTGCTTGAATAACCTTTTCCTCAGTAACATCTATGGTTGGTAATGATGAGCGTTCATGATGATCTATTGATCTAGTATTCTACAATAGCGATTTACACAATTTACTAGGTTTTCTCCAGTTCACAAAGTGATCCTTGAATGTGTTAGCTGCCCTCTGAGGACGGACAACGCATTTACTTCTAGCCTAACTTTTCCTGCTGTGAATTGGCCAAGCCGAAGTGTTTTAATATCCACAAGAGGTGTATTAGGGTTCGCCGCCTTTATAAGATCTCCCACTGCCTTTATTTCCTTCTCCATCCTGCCTTTTCTTGTATCTGCCCCACTTTCATTTAGTCCAAATATAAGCACGTTCATCTTCCTACGCTCTCTTTCCCGTATCAGGTTTTACTTCGGGTTGGAATACAGTATGTGAGAGAACCACAGTTGTTTTAACCTCCTTTTCAATTTTGTCAACTCTCTGTTTCACCGATGTTATCTCAGCGTAGCTTGGATTTCGATTGATTTGTTGCTACAAGTTTTGCATTTCACTGCTTAAAGCTTTTATTTTTGCTTCTAACTCTTGCAACATTGTTTTTACCTCTTGAACCTGTGATGTGGCTTGCTTAAGTTCGGCTTCAATTTTTGGTATTATGTGTGTAAATGATGGTAATGTTTTGATGATGTCATCTTGTCCAGAAACACTGAGTTAATTGTCCGATTAGGAAATAGGAGGGTGTTGGTGGGTAAGAATCACTAGGAATTTTTGACAAAGGGAATCCAGGAAGGTTTCTATTTGAACAATGGGATTTTTTTCAATTGATTACAAGTTTCCTATAGTTTGGCCAAAATGGAGCAATATTGTATAATGAGCTTGAGCATAAAATAAAGTGAAATAGTAAAATTTAAATCAAAAGAACAAAACAATTACTCCAAAATGGTTTACAAAGGGTACATCAAATATTGATTAGAAAATCCACAATAAATCAACTGATAAAAATTCTCATTTTTCGAAAAGGTCAAAGACAAAAGGAATTTAATAGGATAGGAACGGACTTACGCTTACGGTTCAATATTGCAGCTACTCAACATAGCGTTTTCTTAGCAGCGAAGGACAGCCTTTTCACAGGATTCTTTCTTCGATATCTGGCTCGGCAAGGTTTCAGGAAAGTTCCAGCAAAAATTCGTCTTTTCTGGTATTTATCTGATGGTGAAGGACCGTGTATTTTATTGAATCAACTTTTTTATTAAACTATTAGGCCAATGTTAGTGAACAGTAAAAATACATACATTGTTCATCTTCAATTGATTCATCTATGGTTTTTGGTGTGTATATTCATTATTCAAAGCATTGTGGACTGAATTTATTTAAAAAAAAATGACAGCAAAAACCATAAATTGTGTTAAATATGACAATAATTATTATCCTCTTGTTTATCAACATGCCTCAAAATTGTCTTCTTCAATTTATAACTCACTGATCTTTTTGCCCATACTGAAGTAGAGTTTGGTTAATCCTCCTCGAGCAAAAAAATGACAGCCTCATGTGACCAGTTTTGTAACTTCAAATGAAACATCATGTGAGCTTCTGTCAACAATGTCATATTTTAGCTCGCGAAGGATTTACCAAACTCCATCTTGAGAATTATACATCTGTCTTCATTTAATTTAATTTTCCAAACTTTTGTCCTTTTTTCATTTTCTTTATTATTATCAGGCTTATTGGGCAATTAATTGCTAGCCACCAGGTTATTATTTCTTTTCTTTCTTTCCTTCATTGTACGACCTAATGGTGTTCTGACAGTCCCAGAATATTTATAAAGAGAAAACGCAGGGATACCATCTATGCTTCGATGAATGAATATTACTCTCGTTACATTTTGCTCCATCTGGTTAAAATTCGGTGATTCTGGCAAAGTTTTATTAGGTTTTATAAAAGAGAATAAGAAAATTAACTTGACCGTTTGCGAATTATTCAAACACTATCCATTATCCATGAAAATAAAATATAACATACTAAACACTAGTTCTACTAATAGTGCAGTCACAAAGTTCAAACAAATTACCTCCGAGCTGACTCCGCTCTCTTCTGCGCTACTCGTACTGCCCGTACTCGAAGACCGCGAAGGCTTGGCGGGCACACTGTTCCCGGCTCCCGGCAAAGCGCCCTGCGGTGGCGGTCCGCCGCCCCCGCTTTGCGTCACCTTCGTGCCCTCTTCGATCCGCCGTCGATGCTGCACCACTTTGTCGCTGATGCGCAAAATTCGGCCCAGTATACTCTGCCTTCCGCAATCGTTGAGGTGCGACATCGGGTGTACTACGTTGGTCAGTATCGTGAAAGCGTGCTCAAATGCTTTCTTGACCTGAAAATAAAATAATATTTATATGTATACAAATAACCACAAACATTTACTTTACATTTCAAAATAATCACACTAGAAATTAGTTTAATATCAACAGCAAAATTGTTCAATCAAAGACTCAATTAAGTACTGATATGCAACATGGACGGAGATGAACAGAACTGTTTGAGTTGTGGAACGGAAGTACAAAAATAATATTACCAGTGCGATGTATTGTCAACTCATAATTGTCTACAAGCCCACAGACTATAAAAATAAAATGAATTTGGCGCTTGTGCTACAGAAAATAAACTGACTCTGCTGACGGTAGCAATAATTCTTGTATAAATTACGTGCACCGCAATACAGTCAGGCAGAGGTTAGTCTCCACAGCCTAAAGACTTTCTCTCCAAGTTGGGTGTGACTTGCTACGGTACGACTGAGATCCTAAGGTGAATGTCATGCTGTAGAAGCCCCACTCAACGCCCCAAACCTATGGAAACTAAGCTCCTCGAGGGTACTTTTTCATAGAGACGCTTGGGTACTATTGACAGCGTAGGGCTTTCCCTAAAAATAGGCATTTCAAGGGAATGATGGCCCACCAGGGAAGAACATTTACTGCGATCTATTTTTGGTAAACCCTATTTAATCATCTCCTACATAAATTGAGGTGTAACAATAGATGTATTAACTACTAGTGGTGAAATCTTTCCTTTTCACTTATAACCTTTTTTCAGGATAAACCCTTAGCCGACGCAGCCAAGTGTAGATAAAGTGGTGGCACCACTGACCACAAACAACCTAAGCGTGACAATATGTTAAACCATGTGGTTGGCTTATTCCTGATAGTAATTTTTCGTTTCGAGTTTTTTTCGAAAATTATCAAACTTATATTATTTATGGCGTAATTCCAAATTTGTTTTTTCATTATTTCTAAAAATTACACAAATCTAGTCCTCGCTTAAGAGATCTTATCACTTCTGTCATTGAAAAATTATCATCCGATAATAATGTCTATTAAATAAGTATGTAAGTACTTGAAATTTCTTGTGATAAGACGTTTTAGAAAAAAAATTATTGATCTACTAATCAATTTTAAAAATTTGTTGTCCAAATTGTGAAATTCTATTTTTTGATTCCTACAGAAAATATTAATTTCATTGGAATACAATTTCTTAACAATGGAATGGAGATCCTAGGGAAAATTGATGAGCATTTTCCCAAGTATATTGATTATGAAATGGTAAGATATCACTTGTCGTACATAGACTGGGAAATTATGTATAGGTTAATAGATTTAGACTATAAGTGTGAGTTGTTTATGAATACTCTTAAACAAAACAGAAATGCGGTAGTGAGAATCATATGCTAACATTCTATGATATTAGAATTCCATTGTACACAAAGGCTGCCAAACTGGTGACTTGGATTTAAGGAGTTTCAATGAACAGCTTTTTCTTTCTGATTTAGTTAGTTTACAATGGGATAACCTGTATTATTATTGTGATATAGAAAATAAAATCCACTATATAACTAACAATTTAAAGACCTTATCTGAATTACATTCACCAATTAAAACACTAGGGTAAATAAACCACCTGCTCTTTGGTTACCAGTGGCAATTAGGCATTTTATAAGGTAGAGAGATAGGGCTAAAGTCAGGCAAATAAAAGCAATACAGCGGAAAATCGCGAGTACTATAGGAATCGAAATGTAACGTCGGGAAAAGCTGTATACTTGGAGTTTGTTGAGATTCAAAATAATCCACACGAACTATGGAAGACACTGATGAGATTTACAGGTATATTCTAATAATAAAACTAGTAATAATCGGCCTCAAACTTTTAACGATGTCAATGGTATCTATGATTATTTTTGCAGTGTTTTTCAGAAAACGGCGAACTGTGGTAATGAAATGGTATATTATAATGGTAACAGGTATAGTGATAATCAGGCCTATGATGTATCATTTTCTGTTATTTTAACAGCAACATTAAGTTATCTGTCATTGTTTAATCTATACGTCAAAATTGAGACACAAATAGATGTTGGGCCTTAACACAGCCGTTAAAATAACAGGACAGGATACATCATAGGCCTGAATGTTGAGTTTTGTAAGTCCAGCTGATGTATCTAAGTGTGTACGCAGCATTAAGTCAAATGCAGCAGGGGTTGATGGTCTGACTCTGACAATGATTGGGTTGTGTTTGCCCACTATTTTAAACCATATCACCCATATAATAAATTGTTGCCTAGCAATGCTGGCAAACTTCAATTGTCGCTCCAGTGCCCAAGACTATAAATCCTGCCGAGGTTAGAGATTTGCGACCGGTTAGCCTTCTCTCTGTCTTGTCCAAGATCCTAGAGAGAGTGGTGAGCTCGCAGATCCTGGATTATCTGAGGAAAAACAGTATCATCCCCAATAATCAATCTGGCTTTATAAAGGGCACAACATCTGCATTGCTTAATATTATTGATTACATTCTTCAGATGCTTGATGAAAAGCGAGCAGCCATGTTGGTACTCCGTACTCCTAGATTACTCAAGGGCATTCGATTTGATCGATCATGATTTAATGTTTGTGAAGCTATCTTTTTATGAGTTTGATGAATCTTCACTGTCATTTTTTCGCTCGTATTTATCAAATAGAGCGCAGATGGTACGGATCGGAGGCAGTGCCTCGCAGCCTGGGCAGGTGATATCTGGGGTACCCCAAGGATCTATATTGGGCCCCCTTCTGTTTGTGATTGATATCTCTGACATCTCCACTGTTGCTTCAAATGCTCATTTGCAGTGCTATGCTGACGATACACAACTTTTGTTGAAATTTGATCAAATCAAATCAAATCAAAATATGCTTTATTGTCGTAAAAAAATAAATCCATTGACAAAGCCAGTAATTCCTAAATCTAAACTTTTAAAATAAAAATAGCATAACATTGAACGAGGTAGGGATATATAGAGTTACATACACAGATGAAATCGAAAAACAACAAAACTACCATCTAAACATCTTCAAATTCTTAATTTTTTCCAAATCAAATTAAATTATGGTGCGACTCTAACTTTCTGTGTTTCAATATTGACAAAACTAAGGTCTTAAGTTTTAAATTCGATTTTGACATCCATCCATTTGATCCATCATACCTTGATAGGGCTTTGCGTATGTTGAGCCAGGATCTGCAGAGTGTTTTCTAAGGAACGTAATTTAAAAATTAACCCTAGACGCGTCATAAACCCTTAAAACAGAACTTCTTTTATTTTGCTCAAACTATCAGAGGGTTTCACTCACTGACCATTTAAAAGTAGTAATCGATGATAATGTACTTTAATTTTCTGACTGTGCCAGAAACTTGGGTCTGCACTTGGATGTTAGATTAAAATTTGAAAAATATGTACAGATTTTGCCGAAAGCATGTTTTTTTAATTAAGGAATGGACCGTTTTTTATAACATATACCTTTTTCATCACCGACGCACGAAATCAACGCCAAAAAGTTCCTTTTAATGCGTATGCTAAAAAAACCTACGGTGCCATGACCTATCCTGCCGCAACCCCTGGCACCGTGGCGATAAATGGGCTGGTTTAACGCAATTTACTACCTTTTTCATCACCGTATATTTTTGCACCCCACCTGCAGCCTTTACCTTTACAGGTAGATGTTAGGTGTAAATACAAAAGTTGTGCAGTTTTAGCTAATTTTTTAGAATCCATCGTCAGAAACCATAATAGATGATCAGAAATTTGAAATTTTACATACTTTCAACTTTTTCCAAATGGAATGCCCTATATTTGATTCTATATTCTTGAAGAGGACAATTTTCCGATTCCAAAAATATATAGTTTGTCTATGTTTGGTTCAGCCGTCTCCAACATATTTGGCTCTAAAAATTGTAGAAATACTATCCTACCGCCTTAGATTTTGTGAACCATTCTACCTCTCAAGATGACAGCTGCAGGTGAAATATGAGGCATTGGGTGTCTGATACTATTTTTAAAATTTTTAGAGCCAGAATGAAACGAGTACGACCAACAAAATACCATTGGAAAGAGGAGTGCGTCAGGGAGACACCATCTCACCTAAACTGTTCATGCTGGCCCTCGAAGACATCTTTAAAAAATTGGAGAGGGACACCAAGGGCATTAATATAGATGGTGTAAGACTTAACCACCTCAGATTTGCAGACGACATATTCCTAGTGAGTAACAATGTCACGGAAATGCAGGAGATGCTAAACGAATTAAACCTAGTGTCTAAAAATATTGGGTTAAATATGAATTACAGTAAAACCAAAATAATGAGCTCTGAGTATATCAACATATACATCCAACATAATAACATTGAATGCGTAAATGAATACATATACCTGGGACACATTGTTAAACTGGGAAAGGAAAATCAACACGCGGAAATTAAAAGTGGGCATAAGATTGACATGGGCAGCTTTCGGCAAACTGGGGCACATTCTTAAAAACAGCATAATCCATATAAATTTATAACGTATACAAAGTATATAATGCCTACCCGTGCAAACATATGGATTGGAAACAATTAGCCTAACAAAAGCATTTGCAAATAAACTTCTAACAACACAAAGAGCGATGGAACGAAGCATCCTAGGTGTCTCACTTCGCGACAAAATTAGAAATGAAGATATGGGTGGAAGACATTTAGAAGGTGGCAGGCAAGCACTGGTTAAGTACAGCACAGAACAGGAAGACATGGAAACATATGAGAAAGACCTACATCCAGGAGTGGATACCTACGGGTTGAGAAAGAAGAAGAAGAAGAACATCAATCTGGGTTCCGAAAAGGACACAGTTGTGAATAGGCAATCCAGTTTGTTCTGGATGAGTGGAAAAATAGTTTCGACAGCAATAAAAGTATAATCGCAGTATTTTTAGATCTCCAACAAGCTTTTAAGACAATAGATAGAGGCAAACTACTTAACAAACTTGAAAAGATGGTGGAGTATCTAGTATCTGAAAGAGAATTGGAGTGGTTTCGTAGGTACTCAACAAACAGAAAACAACTTACCTAATTTTATTGTTTTGTTAGCAAGATAATGATTAGATTTGATTATCAATAGGAAGTTTTGTAATTTGTTTTGTTTCCCAAAGTACCATAAAATGATCCTTGAAGGTAAATATCTACCAATCACTTCGAAACAACAACCAAACAATAAAATAGAGGGAAAAATAAAAATGCTTATCAATATATGCATCAGCCTCAGAGAAGAACAAAAATTAAGATTAAAGGCATATCAATACATTCCAGCAACCCGTTTAATAGGGTCAATTATTATCCAGAGCACTGTTTACTTGTGGAAAACAAAACAAAAATTAAATGCAACTCTCAGGGGCCGGATTCTCGTCTCAGGGAGTAGAGCTTCCCGATAGAATGAATGTTTTGTCTTTGTGAACGTAATCGAAAAGTAATCGAGAATGATAAAGTCGAAAAATGTTTTTTCTCAAGCAGCTCTACTCCCTGAGACGGGAATCAAGCCCCAGAAAAAACTTCTAATCCTATCTGATTAACATGGCAAGAACTTGGACTGTAACATTCTAAAACAGAAGATCGAATTTATCATTAAACCGGAAGCACACTATGACAGTGTTTTAGCTGGTTCGGAAAAGTTTATTGAGAGTTTATCACCAACAAATTGATTTTGAATCTGTACTTAAGGGCAAGGTCTCTTTCCAAAACTTCTAATGAGAAAAATAGATATAATTTTCTTTCTCAAAATTACCAAATCTTATACCATTAAAATCAGTACAAATATGGCCTTTGACAATTTTATAATGGGAAATGTAGGTATAATAATTATATGTATTTATCAAATTAGCTTAGCAAAGTGTTTTGGACAATACTGAAATGTACATTATAGGAACCTTAGCAGAATAATGTCCTCAAATAGAGAACATTTAAAAATCTAAGCATAAATTTCAATAAATTGAGAAAATCGGCGCATGTTTGTTTTAATGTTATGTTATATTTAAAATAATCAGAATGGACAAGGAGCGTTCACCTTATATTAACATAATGACTCGGTGCTTTCTCTTCTTTTTCCATAAACCACATGCTTGGTCAAAAAAATAATATTTTAGGTATTTTTATTAAATTCAAAAATTCCTAAAGATTATTTCAAAAATCTGGCAATAGATTTCAACCATTTCGAAAACAAACAAAATTATACAATTATGCGATAATACTCTGAGATAACAGATCATTGACGCCATATATTTTATGTTTATTTTGGAAAACAAGATAACGTAAAAGGGAATTTTATTCATAGAAATATTATGTCAAGTTCAATTAAAATATTACTCGAGCACATTGAGAAAGATTACACGTTTTTGATCTTGATTGCATAAAAGCACCAGTGTAACAAAAAAGGAGAGTGACAATGAAAAATTGAATATCATTGACCAAAGGATAAGTTTATGTTTTCTGTTTATTAGGCTCAAATTTGAAATAACATTTTATCCTCAGTGCAATACAAATTTCAAGTATGTAGGAAATATTGCATAAGAAGCCCAACTAGAAAATTTGGAAGTTGATATACCAACATTTTCTGATAAAAGTTAAATCAGTAAACTTGTATGACATATTTTGCTTGTCGATATTAAATAGTATATGAATAAAAGGATTGTGCATCCTCCAACCTGTGAAGTTTAATTAAAACTCACCAACAAGATTCCATAACTACTACGTCCAATATCATTCGAAGGCAGCAAAGGATCTTCTATACACAACATGCTAGCCCTATGACCGTCCGACATTTCCTTTTGCATTTCTTCCTTCGAAATGTATTTGCCGCCGTCTCGTATCCGAATTCCGGTATTGATAAAGTTGAACTTTCTGCCGTAAAGTTCGAAAAATTCTATGAGCAAAACGCCTAGATTGGCGTTACTTTGTCTTACTCCCTCCTGTCGCGGATGCAGCTACAAAACACATACTTGATATTTGGCTGATAAATAAGAAAAATAAAGCTTACTTGTAAAAAGCTTATACACATTAATATAAGACTATAACTACTAATGCCCCCTGTGAAAACTTCATTTAAATCCCTTTCTAGTAGGAACTGTTTAAAGACATAAACCAATTTGGGAAGTACAGGAAATTGCTCCATGTAAGTCTTTATTAGTTCGGCACTCTTAACACCATTTGACATGTTAAAGGATATGTCCACCTAAAAAAAATATTACATTAAAAACAAAGACATAAAACAAGAAGCAAATCCTTGCCTTAATTTCAGTCTTTTTATCTACAAGTTTAACGATGGGGACGGAAGCCTTGTCCAACACCTTTATACTGTCCTCCTGAGCAACTCCTCGTTCCAAAAATTCCTGTTCCAAGGTACGTAAAGGCAGATTTGACCATTTGCCTATAACTACGAGATCGATATCGCTAGTTGGTAAGTACAATCCTGTACGATATGAACCAAACACTTCGACTTGAGCTTCGGGCCATTTGGATTTGATGATTTCTTCGATGCGAGCCACAACTTCGGCACGCACCTTATGCTCGGCTTCGGTGGGAGTCATGTATTGATAAAAGTGTTCGATTTCTTCGTGTAATCTAAATCAAAACATAATTTTTATTAAATATTTTATATGATTAATTTTTTTGAGACACTCTGTATTGTTTATTGTTAATAGGAAGTAAATGTCCTGATCATTAATAGAAATCGTGGTTTATTATCGACGTGAAAACGGAAGAGTTCCGAGCGAAATTACTAGAAATTGCGACGTTGCCTGACCGATGGAGGATTCGTAAAGTGAAAGGAGGAATAACTAGCATTATACATTTCAAGTGTAGATAAATTTTAGCATGACGAAGGCTACTTACACGCTATGACTTATCGATGTTAGAATAAACCCAAAAAAAAAATTATCTCAACTTACATAAGGCATCTTTTAAATAGCACAAGTTCCTCTGAAAATATACCTTCATCTTTGTTGGATTCATTAAAATGCGGGCGCTCATAACCCATATTTGATAATAAATAAAAGCAAAATACTAAAAAAATATTAGTAAATCAGAAGTTTAAAAACACTCAGGCACGAATTTGAACATAATAATATAAGGAAGGTAAATGGTAAATATTTGAACATTGAATGTTAAAATAATTGCAAATTCCTTTACGGCAAAAAAATATAGTTGTTAAAAACCCTTTTTTTTGTTGTGAGATGCAAATAAATGGTTCTGGCAACCTTGTGGCTGCAAGAATTTAGCGACAATGCCAAATTGTAATATTTATATTTTTCATAGATAAATTTATCATTAAAAAAGTCCACAATTTTCATGAACAAGTTCGGAACAAAAAATATACAATATCTAATCGCTGGTTAGATAATAATAATAATAATAATTATTACTATGCATTTTTAGTTTTGATGTGAACTGAACAATAAAACTACATAGTAATAAAGTTAATTATCAATCAGTAGTTTTGTTTATTTTAACCGCCAATTAGAATTATGTTGAAAAGATGATATCACTGGCTAAGAATACCAAATGATTTAGGTATGAGTAAAATCCATTCATTACCAGGATAATGCAAAATTGGGAATTATTCTATATTTGCATCTGACGCTGTTTTTTTTGTGAAGAAAATGGAATAATTCTAAAATTTTATGCACCATGTATTTTTTTGGAGGCGTTTTATCACAGAATCTTTAGGTCTGGATTATCCATCTTCCAATGAACTTGCTGTTTACTGTCTACAAGACTAATATATCAAACTATGTAGTTATCCAGATGACCCATAAAATTATGGATTGTCATATTGCATTGCCTGACAGTTTATCAGAAGGTCTAACAAAAACGAAGAAGTCTTGGTCTAAACTTTTGTAGATGGAAAAATGAAAATGTGTCAGTTCAATTTACAAGTAAAAGTATTTTGCTTACTTGTCTATTGCTCGTACACAATCAGCTGTTGCTTGGTTCATTTAACATAATATGAAGACTTCCCGAACACTTTTGAAAGTCAAATTTTCATGTTGTTAACTATGTTTTGGTTCCTGTTAATCTAGTTCTAGAATAAATCAGTAAACACTTAATACAATTAAGTTTTGCTCATATGAAAACTTACCGGTTCAACTATTTTTTGAATGGTTCTAGAACTGGAACCAAGACAAAGCCATTGATTTTCTAGTCTTTGATTCAAATATAATATATTGTCATGCCTCAAGTCAATGTCATAATTTTATTAAAGGTGATAAAGTTAAGGTAAAGGTTTGCTAGTTTTGTTACTCAGAGGTGCTTTGGCAATGAATCTATTGTAGTTTGTAAAGCATTTTTTTCTTCAACCACCCCTGTATTATGGGTAGTCTACCTCATCAGTATTTTGAGAAGAAATTAAAAAAAAAATTGTCTACCTGAAATCAGTGGAAATCATGTATCTAAACATTGAGAAGAAAGAGATAAGGGAAAATACTACACAGAGACAGAAATATGTAGACAAAGAAGAGGAAAACAAAGACTAAAAAAATTATGATTTTCTCTAGATACACCTTATTTATATTGATTTGCCAATTAGTATTAGTTCTAATTCTAAACCATATCATTTGAGTAAAAAAGAAACTATTGAATGATTAATTGAAAGTACCTAACATAATTACATATATGCATATGTATAATAAAGTATATGATTGCAATTGCACTTAAACGAGCACTTAAGTAACTACTAAGTACTTCAATAAATTAAATTATTAAGTTCAAAAGGCACACCCAGAGTATTTTTAAATACATGTTTAATACCATTGTGTGATAAATTTTTGCAATTTATATTTATTTTTATTTTGGGACAGACTACCTTCATTTTACTTTTTATATGGGGTATACATACAGGGTGAAATCAAAAGTCTATAACGAGTGTATACTGCCTGTTGTCACGTATGGTTGCGAGACCCCTGGGTGATAACCAGAAAAATTAAAAACAAATTGGAAGTACATCAGAGAGCCATTGAAAGACGAATTTTAGGAGTTTCCCTGGAGGACCACAAAATAAATACATGGATTACGGAAAGAACCAAAGCCTCCGACATAATAAAAAGAATTGGTTCCCTAAAATGGCAATGGGCAGGACACATGGCCAGACATACAGAAAACTGGTGCGGGTATATCACTAGATGGAGACCTTGGGAAGAGAGAAGTGTTGGAAGACCCCAACAAAGATGGTACGACGAGATAAAGAAGGTTGCAGGCTAAAATTGGTACCGAGTTGCGCAAAACCGAAGACAATCGTTAAATTTGAAAGAGGCCTATATCCTAAGAATAGAAACCGGATAAAAATGGAAATGGACATGTCTATTATATACATTATGCATTTTATTTTTATTATTATACCTAATGTATTTTCTATTTTTTATTGCCAAAATAAGTAAATGATTCAGTTCTCAAAAAATCATGTAAAGTCTGTTTTTTTTTTTTAAAGATAATTCCCCAAGTCAAAAATGTAGTAACTATGTTGGCAACACAAGCCTTTCCTACATAAAAAATTTGAAAGTATTGACAATTTTACATTGTATTGCCAACATAATGTCATTTTGACTGTTATCTTAAAAAAAAAAAAACTTTAACAATAATTGGAGCTTTCAATATTAATTTACTTGGAAATGAACTGAACATACCCTGCTAAGAAATTACAAAAATACTATAACATTGAATAGTATAAATGAAATAGATGTAGCCAATGTAACAAGAGTTACGTACAGATAACAGAGGCAGTAGATTTTTGATAGTTGACTTATTTTCACAAAAACCATGTTGCTGAGGAATAATAATTACTCTTTGGACTTGCTGACTAATTTTAGTATGTATGATTCCCTCGAAAATCTTTGACAATGCAGGTAAAACAGTCATAGGATAATAATTGTGTGTAATGAGATATGTAGGTATTAACATTCTTATGAATTGGTGTGATACAACCAATAAGTATTCAAATGATCAGGAAATCAATTGGCATCCAGCGACTTGTTTGCTAGGGTTTGCAGAGAACCCCGTAAAATATTCAGATAAGCTTTCTAAAAATTAGTGAAGATGGAATGCAACCATTCCATCTACGCCATACTACCAGGGCCCGTATTCTCGTAACCAGGGACCAGCGTTCTCTCAACGATTGCTTTGTCTTTGTCAGTAATATGGAAATAACAATATGGGTAAGACAGAGCAATCGTTCTCTTGAGAGACAGCTGTTCTCCGGTGACGAGAATACGGGCCCAGTTTCGAGTCAATGGAACAATTTCAAGACAAGTAAGACAACACCTTGTGAGAAGTCGGGTTGTCCAGGGATCGGTTCTAGGCCCATTGCTCTTTAACATATCTTTTTGATCTTGTTAATTGTATTGAAACAAAAATGTCAAGTTTTGTGGACGACGGAAAACTATATGCCAACCCTCTTCTCAATGTAGCACAACTAAAAGCAGACTTGCATAATGTTTAGGTATGGATTGGAAGTTGGGGTATGAAACTCAATGAGTCAAAATGCACAGTGCTTAGAATCGGCCCAAACAATCCCAATGAAGAATACTATCTGATTAAACATGCTTTCAAAGACGACTCCGTCGAAATGATAGGCAAACTATACAAAAGTTTCATCAGGCCTAAACTTGAATATGCGTACACAGTGTGGAATCCATATTTTATTAAGGACATAGACATTTTAGAAAAAATACAGAGGAGGGTAACCAAGATACCATCAGAAATGAGAGAATTAAGTAATCCTGAGAGACTGGAGAGATACCAGCTAACAGCATTAAGAGCAAGGAGAAAGAAAAAGACAGAAGAGAAAAAAAGGAGGAAAGAAGAAAAGTTAACACAACTCAAAAAAGTAACAATAGCTTCATCGGTTTTACCGCCTGCTATTGGACAACATATTATTACTATTTACTATACTATTACTATTACAAAAAAGGATGCAATATCATTCACATATAAATTTGAAAAAAAAGGGGGCCCAGGTGTGAACCTTGGGGTACACCCGATGGTACTTTAATTTCTACTGATTTGAATCCCTGAATACGCCTATCTGTGTTCTTTCGTATAGGTAAAGCCATTCTAGAAGTACCCCCTGAATTCCTTCCTATTCGTAGACTCTGTAACCTATTAATTAATAGTCTATGGTTAAATGAACTTGATAACCCTCCTCCAAGGATTCCAAGAGATAGTCGCTGTAAACGCCAAAAGGTTAAGTTCTGTGGAGCGATGAGAAACGAATCCAAATTGCTGATCGATAAAACAGCCTTTTATACTAGCAAACAAACAAGGCTCTCAAATACTTTAAGGATACAACTTAATATGATGGGCCGATAGTTATTGACCTGCGAATTATCTCCAGATTTCAATATGGGAGTAATAAAGCTTGTTTGTCAATAGGCTGGGAATGTCCCGGTCTTTAAGGAGAGGTTAAAAATATAGAAAAGAGGTCTAGAGAACAAAAAGCTACATTGTTTGATAAATGATGGTGGGAGACTATCAGGCCCTGGTCCCTTGTTAATATACAACTTGGATAGTTTTTCATAGATAGATGAGATATGTATGTCATATTTCATCAGATTGATGTCCCCATAAGGCAGAGTGTCCTGCAGAAATACAGTCTTTATCACTATAAGTCTTGGAAAAGCATTCAGCCAAGAAATTGCCAATTCCAACCCTGAAAGAACTAGTAACACCATCATGGCGCATTACAGAAGGTATATTACTTTCGACCGAGCTTTCGACTGTTAATAAATTTCCAGAAATTTTTAATGTTATCCCCAAGAGACGATTCAGTTAAAGTAACATAATTTTGATAACATTGTTTTTTGCTAGTTTTTTTGCAATGCAACACAATGCAATATACAATATCTCTATTCCTATGTTTTTAAAAGAAAAATGGACTTTTTTTGAGTTTATTAGATCCAAGCAATTATTATTGGCCATGTGTCAACAATTGTTAAACTTTCTCAATAAATGTGATATTTTGAACAGAAACCAGCACAGATATATGCCAGGCATATCCACACAAAGTGAAACCAAATTAAAGTTGACCCCTGAATAATGTCTAAATTGCAGCAAATCGCAATTGCTAAGCCCTGATGTGTGAAGACATTTTATGTCTTCTTTTGGCAAGTCAGATTCAAGAGATGTTTCAAGTTTCAAGATTCATGTTTTCATTTTTATGCTTTACAACATTGTTATATCGGATCTTCAAAAAAAAAAACAATCAAAGATTGCTACGGGTTTTTAAACATATGTCTTAGCAATATTTTTCTTCAATTTTCTCAACGAACTTTAATGTCAAAATATCATGTCAAAAATCCTGATCAATAAAGAGACAATGATGCAACAAACATTTTTGTGATCAAGGCAATCACTGATTGTTTTTTTTTTTGAAGACTCATTATTTTAGGTCTGTTCTCAAACACAAACCAGTCAGAGTGAATTTCATTGGCTGAACATAGTCAGAAAACTGGTTTTTGCGATTTGCACCAATTAAAAACACTCTGACCGGTTTGTGATTTCTGTGAGAACTGACCTAATCTTAATCTTATTCTTCTTCTTCAAGTTCTAAACTCTTTGTAGTCTTGGGTTCAGTTATTGGGAAACTCGTTGGGTTATCAAATTCATTTTAAATTGTGTAGAACTCAAGTTGCGTAAAACTTAGTCAAATACAAATACACAACTGACCAGTACGCTGTATAGATTAAAATGTATAATTTGCGATTTCTAAGTTAGAATGAGATGATGAGGAGATTCCTAGTTATTCCTAGGCTATTCCCTGGGACTCCCAAGTGATTACCACGTATTCCTGATTGATCACTATGATGTGATTCCCAAAAAAATGTACAATGATAACCACTAGCGGTTTAGCCTCGGTGTCAGGGGAAATGCACTATCTTTGGAAATTATAAATCACAGGTAGAATAGATAAAGGGACAATAACAAGAAATGGGCAAGCATACTTTTCCAAATCCATTGAGAAGAAAGTTGGTAGTATGGCTGGACCAATTTTGTTTGTGATATTTCTAAACAACCTATAACAAATCAGCAAAACGAAAATATAACTTGTTATGCAGATGACAGATCTTGTATCAGAATCTCGATCAGAATTGTCATTTCTGGAAGGACTGAAAGATGTTTTTCTGAAAATAAATTGCTGTTAAATGTTAAATAAAAATAAAACGAACCGTTTGCTCTTTAGAAAGAAACAATGCAATATTGATAAACCATTAACAGTGAAATAAAGAATGAATGAGGAGTAGGGCATGTGCAAGGATACACGGCTGAAAAAATGGAAAAAAATCAATCAATGAATATAACACTTATAGTATAGATGGGTTTTAGGGTAGGCCAAATAAAAAACATTTTTACTTCACAAATTTATTCGGTTAACAGCAAAAGGCAACTGCTCCAAAATACCTAGGCAGTCAACATTATTGGCTAAGACTCAATGCCTACATTGTGCCTAAAAATATTTTAATTTAAATTTTCTTCAGAGAAAGTCTTTCAAAAATGCCCCACAAATAGCCATTACTACTCCAAAGAACTCCAAACTTTCTGTAGTACATACACTTCATGAATTTTCAATCCACATCATCTATAACTTCATACCAATTATAGTATTGGGATAACCATATAACACTGCCATATTCTGAGATGAGTTAAACGCAACTGCCAAAGAGGGATAAACTAATGTCAATGCTAAAACCTTTTTGTGTTTCTTGTAATGAAACCTGATAGTTTCCAAGCACTAGAAATGTTTGACAAAGAGAAAGACAAAGCAGGAACAAAAATAACTTCCAAGTCTTTTTGCTCAGATACTGTTTTAAGTTTTCCATTGCCTATAAAGAAAGTACCTATATCATATTAACAATTCGTAGTCCAAAGGCAAAGCTAAAGGTAAATTTATCTCTATAGTCACATTATAGTCAAATTGAACTGAAAGGTGATACATTTACATTTGGACATCAGATTGTGAATAGATAATAAGTTCAAATTGAAACTACTTCCAGAACACAATACAACACGAGACAGTTCACCCAGGGGCACTGCACAGTCCATAATTGATGAAACCTAGTAAAATAGTGATGTGCTGGTGAAAACTAAACTTACAGCCCTTAATTTCAACATACTGATATTTTACTATGATTAGTAGGTACCTGAATATGAATAAATTAAATTGATTATAAGTTGAGGCCTACATCCATTTCCCCCAGGCTACTCAAAATCACACCATGCTGAACTTCATCAAAGCCTTTTCCAGCTCTGTGTACACAACATCAGCCTAACATTTTTTTTTTAATGCCTCATGAAAGATAAATTATTATTATTGAATAAACTGTGACTTGTGAGAAGGTGGTGAGATCCAACAAAGACCTCTTCAGTAGAAAACCATCTTGATTTAAGGAAAATCTTGACTCGTATCTTGACATCAGAAAAAAGCAAAGTCAAAGATAATCATTGTAAACATTTTTGAAACTGCTGAGACAATAGTTATCATCCTATAATTCTGTCTTGTCTAGATTCACCCTTATGAATCATGAACAAGAATCATCTTGCTGCATTTTGACCTATCTGGAAATAATGACAGACTGAAAATTAAATTAAACAGCATTTGTAGAGGAATTAATAAGTGATTCACAGCAACCTTTATATTGTTTATATGATGGGACTCCTGATGAGACTCCATCAGGGCCTATTTACCTTTTTCCCTTCAATCTTTATCTAGTTGCCAGAAAAGTTTCTTTTAAAGTACATATTAACAAAAGCCCAGAAGAAGAAGACACATCTCAACATGCTTCAAATATGTAGTAGTTATGTTATGTGCTGAGTTATGTATAGGGTTTCCATAAAGGTTTTCCGCAATCAGGACAAAGAAGTCAAGAAATCCGGAAAAAATCCGGACTTTGCCGAAATAGCTATTTAAGCAACAAGTGTGTGAACTGAACCTTTTTTCACGAATGTGAATTCTGATGCACGAGCCGATGGCGAGTGCGACAATCACATGAGTGCAAAAAGGTTCACTCTACACATGTATTGCATATAAAAAAATTTTTACTACCAATGAAATATGTGTAAAAAAATAAATTTAGACGAATACTTTACGCACTAGTGCGTAAAGTGAAATAATTTACTAGAAAAAAATGACAGTGTCGACATCTGTCATTGACATTACCCACTCCACGCACTAGTGTGTAAAGTGAATTACTTCACGTACAAGTGCGTGAATTAAAATTTTACGTCTTTTGAAAAGGAAGTAAAGTGAGTACTTTATGCAGGGTAAAAGAAAAAAATAATTTAACTTTTTTATGAAGGATGAATTTTGTTTATTTTTTGCGAAAATAAGTACATTTTTACAGGAATTAATAAATAACCGTAACGATTGGACCAAAGTAAGGTTGTTTTCACGATCTCCGAGTTTTCCGGACATTCTTCCGAATTCCGGCCAAACTTCCCCAGGCACCCTAAAAACCCAAACATGTCCGGGTAAATCCGGATATGGAAACCCTAGTTATGTATTTGATTTTAGTTTTGAGTGAAGTTTTAAGTAAACTTCTTGTATTACTGTACCTAATTATCCAAAATTGCGATTTAAATTAGGTTAATTATTGTTAACTTCAAGTGAGATAATCTCCGAGACTATTTCTACTAAACCAAATTGAATAGTTCTCAGTTTTCTGTGTACATTTAGGAGCTGATATCATATAAAACATTGTAGTAGCTGTTCAAGGCCAAGTTAACACCTGAGAAATGGTTTAAAAATTGCCAATTTTGAGATTGGAGAAGATTATACATTAGGAGGAAATTTGCTTTTTTGAAGTAAAATTAAGTTGTAGGCAGGACAAGAGCTTACACTGGCTTAAATCAGTATTTGTTTATAAAGAGGCAAACTAAAAAAATTGCCTCCCAATCAAAATAACACGAACATAGTGGGTTTCTAGTTTCTACTTTCTATAAAAAATCACCCAAGCGTTTGTAAACAACTTAGGATAATTCTGATTGGGCGGAGCTGAAATTTTCCTACAAAACACCTTGGATAATTAAAATAAATGCTCGCAGATTCCATATCGATTCCCTAAAATGAGAAAGTTGTTTACAAATTATTACAAAATATCCGGATATTTTTAGAGGAAAATGTGGCAACGTCGCAAGGAAAGCCATCTTATGTCAGACGCGAATCTAAACCGAGCCTAAAATGCACATATTGGTTAAGGAACCACGTTTTTTTTTCTTTTGAAGTAGGAAAAACAATAAAAATGATGACACTTACCCGACTATGCCCCTGGCATAATTATATTTTTCCTGTCTCCACGGACAGCCCCCGAAATCCGTAACAAATTTCCTATGTAAAGGTCTCTGACTGGGACGATTGTCGTTTTTCGTACGTCGCACACGGGTGAAATTTCCACTTTTATCGGTTTTACCGTTCATGATTTGAATTTGTTGATTGTTAAAACCGTTCGTCATATTATCAGCATCATTGTCGCTACTATCCCTTAATTCCCTTGAGTTCATTCCCTCGATTTCTTGCTGAGTTTGCCACACTCTCAGCCACAGGACTTTGGCTGGACCGTCTTGCTCCGGCATCAACCAAGAGAAGTACGAATCCATTAAACAGTCACGAAACGAATTTAACTGCCCCTACACATTCAGCACACCGACACTTTAATTTTATTTTATTTAACCCACGGAAAATCACACAAAGTCACACCTTACGGCTTATCACACGACCTTTTTTTTTTTGATGTCTGTGCAAATGCAAATAAAATATTTGACACAGACAAAACTGGGAAAAGGAAAATGGCAGTGATATGACAGCGAGTGACAGTGACAGAAAAATAGGCGGCCATTTTTCGGCCTTCTCATTGGTCAATAAATGACGTTGATTTGAACGGCTACGTTTTTACTTAAAAATAATAGAGGGCGCTAAAGAGAAAAGCTGATTTTTTTTCTGGAATATGTTTATTAGAGAAGGGTTTATCGATATTCATAGGGATCGATACGATATTCTATAAAAGTCTCTAACGTTTTTGAAGTGAAACTTCTCGGCGGTCTGATATTTGCCTTGCGTTCGCTATTTTGTTCAAAGAGCAGAGCGTGTACAGCCGTAAACACGTGACCAGTGAGCGGACCGAGCAGTTAAACGCTTTATCAGAGCCATCAGAACTCTCGAAATTTTAATAAACGAACGCGAATGAGCCTGCACCGAGCACATTTTTTAAATAAAGAACGGTAAATTCAATCAAGCTTGGAGAACTCAGATCGAAATACCGAACGCACAGTTGGACGACAGAGAGTGATTTTAAAAACGCGTCACGGGCAAATTTCGTTACTCGACAGAGAAGAAAGATATAGCGTAAAGAGACGGAAAAAGATAGCTATTGATTGACACAAACCAAGGATTATAAGCGCAAAGAGGATTGCCTATTGTTAACAGGCACTAATACTCTTGTGACGTCACTAGAAATATGCGTGTTCCTTTTGTTATACCACTACCACAACCGTGGTAGTGGTATAACAAAAGGATGTGTGTATATATTAAAATTATGAAAATATTATCAAAAATGATATAAGAGACGCAGAAAAACAGCCATGATTGCCATTGCAGATGCGCTCTTTCCTTCTGCTATACTATTATCATTCTGTTTTGTGATTATTTTCGTTATTTATACATTTGTGTCCTGTGCTTTTTGAAGTCAAACTTCTTAGATGGCGCTTTGATATTTGACGAGAATGGAGAGTGATTTGAAAGACGCGTCACGTTTTGGCAAATTTCGTTACAAGAGAGAGAAGATAAGGCCTATGTTCTGATATCAACTGACAGTACTGAATTTACTGGACGCCGTTCCGATATTACACTGGATTCAGTCGATTCAGTACTGAATGACCACAAAAGTACGCTGTGGAATTGTGGAAATCGGAACGGCAAATGACAGTAAAATCAGCACAGTACATCCAGTACTGGCAGTTGATATCGGAACATAGCCAAGATAAGACAGCCAATGACAATGACAGATCCGCCGAACGATTAAGGGCGGGTATTATACACTGGTATTATAAAACTACTTTGAGAGTTAACTTAAAGTTAACTTCTGGAATTGACCTTTTCAATTTAAAAGCCTCTCTCTCTGGCTCTGGCCTCTCTCAAACTGTCAGACGCCAAAAGAGTATGAAAACAACGGTTGACAGCCGCTGACAGTGGTTTGTTGACAAGACTTTTGTACATGTGGAAACTGGAAACTATTATTTCCTCGGTTTTTTCAAAGTTTTTTCCTAACAATGGTGATTGTGTAGTGTGCCTTTTTGTAAAAATAGTTCCTATTTACCGGCGGACGTGTCTTTCCATAAGTTTCCATCAAATCCTACATTTGTCAAATTTTGGATACATAAAATCAGAAAGAATACTCGCAAAAAAAAAGGGAATCCACGGCCTATCAAGTATACAAAGTAATCCACGTTCAAGTTTAGTTTGCGGGAGCTGTTTGCTTCCAAAATAATTCACCGCTTTCTCCATAGCGAAGTTCTGCAAATGAAGTAGTAACTTTCCCCACAATTTCTTTCAAAGCACCCAAGACACACTGGCATTGACAAGCAAGCAAATGTTGGCGGGAAAATGATTGTTTTCATACTTTGTCCATCTCTTTTAATTGAAAACGTCAGTTACATGTAATTCAAAAAGTTAACTTTGAAAGCAGTTTTATAATACCCGCCCTAACACAAACCAAAAGTTCTTTTCACGTGGCTCCGGTTTAAACTAACTGGGTTACAAAACGGTTAGAGAAATTACATACCTACCGTTTTCTAACCCGGGCTGGGATCACGACGACGGCGAGTAGAATTCTACTAGAATTCTACTTCCATGACGTCAAGTTGCCTAGCAACCGTCATCATCGCCTGTACGTACGCGATAATTAAGTCGAAAGTGACGTCATAAAAGTAGAATTCTACATGTCGTGATCCCAGCCCCGGCTACAAAGTGACGTGATGGATACCTACCACTCGAATTTGAGCGGTATGTTGCGGTTTGTTAAACCGGAGCCACGTGAAAAGGGTTAAATAAGGTCATAAACTTAGACCATAAACTATTGCCTGAGTTCGGCTTTGCGTAACGGTATGAGCATGGATATCGTGACGTCATAAGCCCAACGCAAAAAAGAACACGCTGAGAACTAAAACGAACAGAATCTAGTCGTTTCGAGCGCGCTCAAGTTTACAGACTCTAAAGCCGAACTCAGCTATTATTGTCAAGCGCCGATCTCTTGTGACGTCACTGCAGATACGCGTTTACCGTCGTCTTTACCCCGACGCATATGCTAAAGCTACGCTTACATTCAATTCCAATTCAAATTGCAATTGGAATTACTCGATAGTTGAACGACTGGCCGTTTCGTTTACATTGAAATATGTGCGGGAAAAATTGTACTTTGTACTGTACTTGACCAAAACGAAACATTGAACTTCAAAATAATTTGGAAAATAATACAGTTTTTTATCAAGACAAGCTCCAAAATTTCACATCCAATATTCAAATTGGAATTCCAGATCCAATAAAAAACTATTCATTCTTCTTGAGAGATGATGGTTATTTTGCCTGAAATTTCTAGATTCTGCTTGAATTTCTTCTCTCCATTTTTAATTTTGTTTCCCGACTCTTGAATTTGGCGAATTAAAGAAAGTTCAAGAGCCGAAGAGCCTGGAATAGAGAAAACACGAATGTCCTCTTATCTACCACTTTTTCTAATTTTTCTACATATTTTATTTTCTATATACAAACAAAAGCCAGCGGAATCATAGCCTATGTGCTGACTTTGGTACAAAATACAAACACCCTACGTCAAAGCGTGAAAAACCCTTGAAAAGACACGCTACCACGTCATCATTGGTACTTTCGCGTGGTAGGGGACTTGACATTTGAACTGCACAGGCCTATCAAGATATTAGGACAGGCTATTCTGTAATCTTCTGTGTATCATCTGAAATCCTTGGATCCAAACCACGAACGTGATTCTAGTGCAAACCGCTGACAACTTGTTAATGACGTCAGAAATGGTGACATATCAATATAGCGGCGATTGCCAAAAACGAGGCCGATAAGCTATACTAGTATTAGTATTGTGTATTATTCTTGGGCAGCATATCGTTTCTCGTCTTGACGTAGGCTGTTTGCACCACAGGTTATGATTCCGCAGGCTTTTGCTTTAGCTTTATGCGTACTTGGTTTTACTACATTAATTAACTATGAGGATAGCTATCCTGTAGTAGTAGTGTGTATTATCCTTGCATTAAGGCGAGAAAATACATGCTGTTTCGTCATCACGGGTACTTTATGGCGTGGTAGGGAGCTTGAGATTTGAACTACACAGGCCTATGAGGATACTAGGAATACTAGGATAAGCTATCCTGTGTAGCATGTAGCATGTGAAATTTCTATAGTAATAGGCTACTTGATGATGTATCTGGGGGTTATGGAGATTTTCATTATTTTGAGGCACCCCAGATGACGTCATAAATTTATCAGGCAACTAACCTCTTTCAAACAACCTTGATTTAAACCCTTTTAACCACAAATGCCAGAATTCAATATGGCGACAATGGTCAAGTATTTGTGATGATTGTTTATTTAATTTGCGTTTTTGATTTTTGAAGTTTTCACTTCTGTCCACAGCATCTTCCGTCGTATGGTACACACCATATTTTTGTTCTTAATTTTTCTCACATTTCTTGTCTCTATTTCTCAATTTTTGTTTATTCTTTGCTCTCCAATTTCTGGGAAAAAAAATCACGAGCCTGGGATAGGAAAAACATGAATATTGTCTTCTTAATTTCCAATTTTTTTTAAATTTCAAAATAAAGAAAATTCAAGAGTCTGGAATAGTCTGGAATAGGAAGAACATGGAATGTGTCCCTGTCCTCTCATCTACCATTTTTTATCCAATTTTTCCACATCTTTTTTCTACTTACCTAATTCTCAGTTTCTCCGAAGGGACCGTTTATTAATTTTCTGATTAACTGTCAGGTATGGAATCCGACGGATAAAAACAGTGGCGTAACTTCAAATCCGGAGCCCCCCCGCAAGGATTTTCCCGGGGCCCATCTTTCATGTATTTTTTTTTCTTTCTAATTTTGCTTTATACAGGGTGTCCCTTTTAAGTGATACCACTATTGCTATCTCCGAACCGGTAAAAGGGACGACAGTGGCGCGGCCAGAATTTTTTTTTGGGGGGGGCTGGGGGCTGCACTGTAAAATATGTCGCAGGCGAAAATTTTAAATAATGGATGTATCACATTTGTTATTTTGAGAAGACATTATAAGAAAGACATTAAGACATTTAATTAACTTGTTTCTTTATTACATATTCAAATCTTGCTTTAAAAAAAATGCATATTGACGTCTATGACGAAATCTAAAGTTATAGGCTCGGTTATATAGGGGATAAGAGGACACGCCCAATACTTGAATAATCATTCTACAGAAATAAAATCCGAAAGCATTCCTTTATTTTCAAGGAATTGAAACATATACAAAATAATAATATGGGTGAAATAAAAAAAAAATGTTTGCTCGTAGGTACCGAGAACATCTCGGCTTAAAAGGACGAGCCCTAGTACTACTGGGTGTTTGTTTATAACTGGGACACTCAGTAACTTTTTTATTATTTAAAATAAAGGGAATGTTTGAGTTGGTTAAGTTTTAATGGAACGCCCTGTATATTTTTGTTATCATAGTGTTTGATACTTTTGTGAAGCTTATTTTCGAAAAATTTTAAAAATACAAAAATATACAAGGCGGTCCATTGAAAAAAATTACTTTTTTGGTTTATTTAAATAAAACATCAAAATTTACTGGAAGTATTTGAAATACTTTTTTTTGTCACATTAGCTCGGGGGGGGGGGCTGCAGCCCGGCAGCCCCCCCTCGGTGCGCCACTGAGGGACGAAGTAGGTTAAATTAGATAAAAGTGGCAGATTTTAATATCCATTGAAGGTAAGTACACAGGGTTGCCAAGTTTTTATTCGTTTCCGAGATAAAAGGGAAAATGTAAAAAAAATTCAAACTTATTTAATGAATATTTCAAAATCTATTAACTTTAGAAAAAAGTGTTCATACAAAAGATTCAAGATTCTTTCTTCTCTATAAAATGGTGTCATTGTTATCTTCACACGGCTCGAAACAAACTTATAAATAAGCTAATGGCATGGCCAAAAAATGAACAGGCCAATTTTAATGCAATAGAATGAAATGTCTAGAAAAACTCAAAGGTTAAATAGAGAACGAAAGATAACGATTTTCCCTGTTCCACCTCCAGCATTCCCAGTGCTTTTTAGCCACCTTGTTGTTGTCTTCCTCCGTTTCGCGACGGGAGGCAGACCACATCTCGCTCTAAAATCTAATACTTTTTTCCCTTGTATAATGATTAACTATTATTAATGGGATGTTCCATCTTTTGGAGTTAAAGTTGCTCAATATATTGGAATATAGAATATAATCCATTAACTCTCTTTGGAATGTTGCCGGCGGCGCGTTCTTCAAACCAAAGGGCATGCGCGAGAACTTATAATGCCCGTTTTCTGTGCAGAATGCGTTTTTTTCGATGTCGTTGTCTAGATCTGGTGGAAACCGCTAGCTAAATCTAAGCGTCCCAGCTTCTTCAAGTGATCTGTTATGTTGGGTAATGGGTATCTGTCAAACTGTTTGTCAAAGTGGTTATAGCAAAAACAACAAAAACATAAAACACATAAGTTTGATATAAAAATAAATAGTTAGGAATGTTAGGATCAGGAACTCAATATTTTTCCACCTACTCACTACACCCACTACATACAATGCCAAAATCACTATGGGGCTCCGCCTCCATAGCAAATTCACAACGGGGGCTCAAGCCCCATTGCCCCCATGGTTCCGGCGCCTATGTGTCTAAACATTTCTCTCTGAGATCTCTTAGATTGGTTAGACATACTTTTTCAATGGTTTTTATGTATTATGAGGTTCAAAGGTTAGGTTTAAGTATTTTCTTTTAGTTTAGTAATATTCTTGTCGCCGATTTAGTACTTTCTTATTGCCTGGTCTGGGACCCTGCGGGGCCCCTAAGTCACGGGGCCCCCCCGCAACTGCGGGCCCTGCGGGCCCTTAGTTACGCCATTGGATAAAAACGCAATCTCTAATTTCATTGGTCGGCCATAGTATCCGCTGTCCAATAGAATTAAAGAACGATACATTTATCTCGTGGAAAGTTACAGCAAGTTTATCTGAAGATGGGGACGGGCCTAAATTCTATAAAGAGAAAATTCAATAGCTTGATAATAGAACCAAAGGCTGAGTTCGGCTTTATACTCTGTGTACTCTGAGTGCGCTCAAAACGATAAAGATCGTTTTAGCTCTCAGAGGCTGAGTTCGGCTTTGTTCTCCACGGAGTGGAACGGTATGTGCATGGATATCGTGACGTTACTGACGTCATACGCGTCCATAAGACGAACGCAAAAGAGAACACTAGGGCTAAAACGAACAGGATATAATCATTTCAAGCGCGCTCGGAGTTTACCGAGTTTAAAACCGAGCTCAGCTAGAGTCTTCTCTTTTGCGTTGGGCTTATGGGAATACTTATCGTTAAGGCTTCCCTAAAATAGTTCGTGGAAACAATTATTCCTTTCGAAAAGTGTTTGTTGCACCACGCATCCGTTCCTTTAAAATCGGGAGCGACTAACACCGGAGCGAGTAGCTCGAGTGTTCTAATTTTCGCGGACGTATCGATGTATATTTCGATATATATCGGATCGATAAGCACTACTCTAATTTTTAAAACATACTGGATTCCCCAGTGCCATCTATCATCTATCCATAGAAATTGTTTTAATTTTTGTTCTGAGTTGGCAGCACTCCGATATTTGATTTTGACTTTTCGCGGCTTGCTGCCACCTTCCAACTTGTCATTTTTGCTTGCAAATGTAAACATCATGGAAAGACTGGCTAAAATTTTCAGTGTTTTCTCATTATTTTGTATTTTTTTCGCAAATTTAGTCGGCGGTAATTTTGTGCACAAAAAGTTTGAATATAAATATTCGTTTAAACCGCCGTATTTGGCCCAAAAAGACGGTTCGGTGCCCTTTTGGGAATATGGAGGCAGTAAGTACAATTTTTTCGTACACGTCAGTAAAAATATGACTCAATATACGACATACTGTCCCTATACTTCTCTCTTTTTCGATCGTTTAAATATCTGTATCAAGTAGGCAAACGTATGTCTTAACTTTTATCGAAATCTTGACACGTATATAACCTTAAAAATTTCTTTTCAAAATCCTCTTCAAGTATTTAGATTTTAATTTAATATAATATCTTTTATGTATGAAAAGCAATAAAATGCTTATAGATATTGCTAGATAAATATATTTTACTGAATTCCTGATGACAAAAACCATATTTATTGATGTTTTTAATAATAGCTTAATGAAATTGACTTGCTGAAAATGTTAACATTTTTATAAAAAAACAAGGCTAATAAATCATTTATTAATACCTTGTGCTTCACAAATCACTACAGCGCTCTTATAATATTAAACTCGTTTTAGATGCTATTGCAAGTTCCGAAAACGTAAGATTAGCTCCCTCATTGAAAAGTCAAAAGGGAGCAATATGGACCAAGAATCCGTTGAGTTTTGATTATTGGGAAGCCGATGTTTCGTTTAGGATAAGCGGGAGAGGCAGAATCGGTGCCGATGGTTTGGTAAGAACTCATTTACTACTTTTACTTCCACAGTAGGAAAGCGGTTTTCACCAATGAGTACTGTTTGTTCTCTTAACTATTTTACATAGGTATACCTAGGTCACAAAATTAATGCTCACTTTATCATGCTTGTCAAATCTGTTTTTGTCAATGACCTATTATCACAGATAGACAGAGTATTCCATTCATAAAATACTATTTGTTGTGTTGACATTGACAACATGTTTATAGGCCAGGGGGGATTTGGGGTGCGGGCGATTCATGGTAGGAATATGTCGCTTGATGTAAGTCAGGCCTCAACAGCCATTCCCTGCCATGGACCAGACCCAATTAGTCCCACTCCAACACCAAAACAATGATATTTGAAAAGTATTACAGACTAACACGCACATATCTTATGTATCAATTTTTTTTTAACATACAGGGTGTCAATTTGAAAACTTACAATGGCTATATCTGGGTAACCAAAAAAAAAAATCTATGAAAACATTTCTATCATAGGGAGGGGGGACCAAAATGATGTAATAACTAACCTGTTTTCACTTACCACTCACCCCCAGCCACCCCAACTAAATAATCTTAAATAGCAACCCCCTACTTGTGATATCTTATCTGAAAGCTCTTAAAAAATGCTCTTCAATAATACCCTACAAGCTAGGATTCGATGTAATAGATTTTGGTTTATTGGGTAAATAAAACTTCATTCAATTAAATTAAAATTGTATTTTTTTAGACTTGTGAATTTTTTCAGGTCCCCAAAACAACGAATAAATAAAAAATAATACAAGCCTAAAATGTTTATGGTTTTATTTTGAAAATTATTGACAATTATTACATCAAATCCTAGCTTGTAGGGTACCAAAAAAACATTTTTTAAGAACTTTCAGATAAGGCATCACAAGTAGGGGGTTGCTATTTAAGATCAGATCTCGCAAGATGGCGGACGATGTAGAAGTGTGTGAAAATTGCTCCGACAATTTCATTGTTAATTCAAAGTTTATCAAGTGCAATATATGTGAACACAAGTTTCATTTAATATGTGTGAGTGTTAAAGATTCATGGATTAAAATAATTAATGAAAGTGCAAATCTTCATTGGTTCTGCGACGTCTGCAAAACAAAATGGCATAAATGCTTAGAAAAATCCGCCAAATCGGAACAAGTGAGTGATGTAGCGGACATTAAGACGTTACAAAAAGAAATAGAATGTCTTAATCGAGAAAAATTCCTTGTAAATAAGCTGCTATCAGAGCTGGAATATAGCAATACCCTGCAAAAAAAGGTAATCAAAACATATGAAGATCAAAATTTTTTGCAAGCAAAAAATCCCATCATTCCCATCACAGCAACAACATCGTCCCAAGGAATGTCAAGGACATATTCGGATTGTTTGGCTCAAGATCAGCAGGCAAACAAATCCAATCACGCTCCACTCTCTGTCTCACTCTCACACACGGCGGGTGCGCATGGATCACATGCACAAAGTCAGGGTAGAACAAACTCTACCTTGGTACCCATCAATGTCAAACCTCGTGACAATGAAAGGTCGAAGAACAATAACAATGGAAACCTAACCCATCAGAACGCAAACGTAAATAAAATCAGGGCAACTTCTGAAATAGTGGACCCAAAATCAGTTCAGATCGCTTTGATGCAGGCGCAGCAAGGTAATATTATGCGTCAAATTCAAGAGCTTGGTCAAGCAGAGAAAAACGATCAGGATGGCGATTGGCAATCAGTTAAGCAGAGAACTCGTAGGCGCACAAGAAGATTCATGGTGGGCCGGGGCGAAAACTCAATGGAAGTTCAGGCCATTCCTAAATACACTTGCAACCTGGAACCAGGACAGAGGATATGGAGCGAGTACTAAAAGAAAAATTCCCAGAAGTAAAGTGTGAGTTGTTGCAATCCAAACACCCAGATATTTATACCTCAATGAAAGTCACTATATCTCAGGATCATTACAGGCAAGCCTGGAATAGGGAAGTATGGCCTAATGGGGCCCTTATTAGTCAGTTTTTCCAGAAGAGGAGGGTGCCACTGCAAACAAATGTGGACCCTCAAACACAGAGGCAGTAACAGTTTCAAGTAAAACTGAACAAACTAATTTATCTAATACCAAAGAGTACAATATATATTACCAAAATGTGAGAGGTCTGAGAACAAAGACTGAAGAATTTTACACAAATGTAATGTCTGAAGATTTTGATGTGATTGCATTGACTGAGTCGTGGCTGTGTGATGGTATACATGATGCTGAAATATTTGACCCTAGATACAATGTGATAAGAAGAGATCGTATTGGAAACACCAGAGGAGGGGGTGTAGTCTTGGCCCTGAAGAAAAATATCAGGCATGAAATTATCAGTATCACCATGGATGTTGAATGTGTTTTAGTAAAAATTAAAAATAAGAATAACTTTTTATATTTGTCTGTGGTTTATTTACCAGCAAATTGTGATACAGGTAGGGTAGAAAACTTTTTTAACTTTTTTGAGAGGCTAGATGTGGTAAATAGTAATTTTCTAATAATGGGTGATTTTAATATGCCAAATTATGAAAATTGTAGCACTGAAAAAAGTCTATTGTTGGCAGAATTTTTAAACTTATATAATTTATGCCAGCATAACTTGGTTAAAAATTGTATGAATAGACTCTTGGATTTGGTTCTCACTGATATTGATATTTCAGATATATGTAGATGCGACAGCCAGTTAGTTAAGGAAGATAATTATCATCCTCCACTACAGTTTTATCTAACATACAGGAGTTCTGATGTTGGAGATAAATTTATGAACAAGTCATATACCTATGACTTTCCTAAAGGTAACTTTTTAAATCTATATTACTGTATTAGATCATGTGACTGGTTGGATGTTCTGGCATGTGAAGATGTTGATATTTGTCTTAAGTATTTTTATGATACCTTTTATACTTGTTTAGATATGTCAATTCCAAAGATGGTAGCCAAAGAGTCTTCAGGTGCCCCAAAGTTTCCTACTTGGTACTCCATTGGGTTGGTACGTAATATTAGAGAAAAGAATCGTTTACATAAAGCTCTACGAAAAAATAAACTAACCTCAGCTGATCAACTTAAATACAATATTCTGAGAAAAAACATCAAGTCACAAATAAAATTTGAACATAAAAACTATTTAACTAATATTGAAGCAAACATAAATGCAATCCAACATCTTTCTGGGGTTTTTCAAAAATAAAAAAGATCATAATGGAGTGCCAGGGGAAATGGTGCTTGATGATAAAAACTTTTCGAATGCTTCTCATATTGCTAATGCTTATTCAGAGTACTTTCAGTCCATGTATGAAACATCAAGTGAGCCTGTAACTTACAGGTCTAGTACGGGGGCTACTTTGTTTAATTTCTCTGTTATAACAGCAGGGGATGTTATCAATAGTATTAAAAAATTAAAACCAAAGAAAGCTTCAGGTAACGACCAGATTCCAACCTATATTTATAAGGGACTAGCTGAATATTTGGCAGAACCCCTGGCATTTATTTTCAACCTTGCTCTCGAACAAAATAAGTTTCCGGATGCCTTGAAGCTAGGCGTTATCACACCTGTATATAAGGGTGGCAGCAGAAATGATATTCACAATTATAGACCTATTTCTATATTAAATGTTTTGAGTAAAATATTCGAGATTATTCTTCGCGATGATCTCAATAATTCTCTGCAACAAAAAATTTCCTGTTTTCAACATGGATTTTTTGCAGATAGGTCGACTGTATCAAACCTTTGCTTATTTTCTGAATATGCCTCAAGAGCAGTTGAAGAGAAGCACCAACTTGATGTAATATATACGGGCTGCGAGAAGGCTTTCGATAAGGTTTCTCATAGTATACTACTCGATAGAATGGCTGACTATAGTGTTTCAGAAAAATCACTCCAATTTTTAAGTTCATATCTATCAGATCGTTACCAAATGGTAAAAATTGGGTAAACATTTTCTGAGAAGTACAGGGCTACATCAGGGGTACCTCAGGGTAGTATTCTTGGGCCGTTGCTTTTTACTTTTTTTATTAATACCCTGCCCGATTCCTTGAAGCAATCAGTGGGCCTACTGTTTGCAGATGACTTCAAGTTATTCAGAGTGGTCTCTGAAATTGAAGACTGTTATCGGTTACAGGGTGATATGGACTGTGTGAGTGAATGGTTTAGGAAGAACAAGATGAAGTTAAATATTAAAAAGTTTTCTGTAATGTCTGTTGCCAGAAAATCCAACTATATTGAGTTTAATTATAGTGTAAATGGTAGGGTTTTGGATCGAATAAGTGAGGTGAAGGACTTGGGTGTCTTTTTTCAGTCTAATTTTAAATTTAATAATCATTTTATATATATACAGCAAATAAGGCATACAAGTGCCTTGGCTTCATCTTAAGAAATGGTAAAGATCTGAGTATGGACACACTAATTCGACTATACAATGCTCTGGTGAGACCACACTTGGAGTATGCTGCTCAAATCTGGATGCCACTGGCTCAGTGTCATATAAATCACATTGAAAAAGTTCAAAAGCGTTTCTTGAGATTCCTGTATGTTAGGCAGAATGGAGTGTACCCGTTTTGGGTCTCATATAGGGCAATGCTCAACAGTTTCCATATAAAATCCCTTGTACAAAGAAGAAATGAACAAGCTGTGATATTTATATACTATATAGTCAATAATATAAAGTAGGCCAAGCAATGAAGGAAGATTACCTCAACATAATTAGAAGTTAAAAATTTTTGGGGGGGATCGGTTCATTTTCATGTGCTTAATAACATATTAAGTTTGCGACCTTGTACTTCCATAGGGTTTTTAGTTAGGGGTGGTTTTTAGGGGTAATTGGCGGTTTATGGCGAACGCTGCTCAAAGGGATGGTCCAATAGCAAAAAGTTTCAAATGTATGTTGTAGCTGAAGTTTTTTGCTATAAAAAACTCAGCGACAGAACCCCTCTATCTTCTATAGTTTTTTTTCTGCAGCGTCTTGAATAGTAGC